AGCGTGCAATCAGCGCAGTTCTTCTCCTCTGCTGTCCCCAGCATGGCCCAGCTCCATCCACACTTCTGCCAACTTCACTGACTGCTCAGCTTCTTCCTCTGTCTGCCACATGACTGCTGGGCCTCCCTGCTCATTAGATAGGGCCCGGGGCCCAGCATGGCAGGACCAGCTGTCCCCCCGTATCGGCAGCTCCAACCAGTGACTTTGCCTAGGCTGAGATGATGTCATCAGCCTGCTGCAAGCAGGAGGAAGCATTCCCTCAGTCTCCCCTCCCCCCAGTGATCAGACCAGGGGCGGACTGACCATGTGAAAACTCGGGCACTGCCCGAGGGCCCGGGGTCAGTAGGGGGCCCCATGAGATGCCCCTGGTACCTTTTTCATGGGCTTTTTTGAGTTTGGGCAAGGACACAGGGGCCCCATGATCCCCTATTGCCCGGGGGCCCCATGAGTTGTCAGTCCGCCCCTGGTATCAGTGCAACATTGTAACTTTATAGCAAGTCACAAAGTGGGAGGCTGGAGCAGGGGCTGATCTGCAACAGACAGAGGCGGACTGACAACTCATGGGGCCCCCGGGCAATAAGGGATCATGGGGCCCCTGTTTCCTCACCCACACTCAAAACCACACCCAAAAAAGCCCATGAAAGATACTAGGGGCATCTCATGGGGCCCCCTACTGACCCTGGGCCCTCGGGCAGTGCCCTAGTGCCTGAATGGTCAGTCCGCCCCTGGCGTCAGACATTTGTGAATGCAGCCAATGAATTGGTTTTAGTAAGGTGGGTGCACAGATGTGGCAAGGGCTCTGATGGGTCCCAAAGCCTGGAGGAGTGGGCGTTCTTAGGCAGACTGTATATACATGCTGACCGCCCCCTAGGTAACATCCACATATGATGCTGAGCCTTCTTAATTAAAGGAACTGAAACCCAGTGAGTAAAAGAGGTGGGCCAGGGAGAGTCAAATTGCGGAGGGAAGGGCAAGATGATACTAGATGTCCTCTAGCCAGGAAATGAGGCGGGTTCTATCTGACTTGTTGAAGTTTCTAATGCACATTGTGAAAAGCTCACAGTGTGCAGTGAAGTCATAGAAAGCAATTTCAGTCCAGGTGAAGAGTGAGCAATTTTAGTACGTAAGGGAGTTTAACCTCAATCCCCTTGAAATGTGTTAGAACCTCCAATAAAAATCCCCTCTAAAATCTCACTGACATCTCAGGTGCTCCAGCCAAGGACTTTGATTGGCCGTCGGCCCCCTCCAGGTTTCTCGCAGGAAAGGTTTCCTCTGGGCTCAACTCTTTCTACAAAAACTTTTAAGACTCTCAATTCAGCAAGGTCTAATTTGGGGCCCCCAGGCAATAGGGGATCATGGGGCCCCTGTGTCCTCACCCACACTCAAAACCACACCCAAAAAAGCCTATGAAAGGTACTAGGGGCATCTCATGGGGTCCTCTACTGACCCTGGGCCCTCGGACAGTGCCCTAGTGCCCCAATGGTCAGTCCGCCCCTGGCGTCAGACATTTGTGAACACAGCCCAGAACTGCACGGGTACTAGAACTTAAGTATTTGTATCATCTCTGAGCCGGCATCTCCTTCCAGGAAGTAGATGGTGACCTTGGATGATGCCTGAACAAAAATGGCGCTGTCCTTCTGGATAGAAAAGCAAATGAAAGCATTGTTGGAAGAGTGCTAAATACCTGGAAGTGTTACACGGAGACCTTCTTGAGCGTGCTACAAGTGAAAAAATATCTGATGACAGGTCCACTTTAAGTAGGTCACATTCCAATATATATCTAGGTTTGGTGCCTCCGCCAGAGCAGATTGGAATATTTTGTGTATTTATGTGTAGATATTCCACTGGGTGCTCGTTACTGTTCATGTCTGTCTGCAGTTTAGTGGTTTATGCCGCTGTTGGAACACATGGCTTGTCATGTCTCCTCGTCCTCCGGCCTCTAGAAGTGGTCAGCGCGGCGTCGGTGCTCATTGCGCGCCCTTTCATTAGCAGTATGTGGAGCGGGATCACTGCCGGAGGAATTATTGCACTCTTGATCATCGGTACTTTGTTTACTTCCCAGAGATGAGGCTGTAAATGTTTCTTTCTGCTTGATATACAATCCGCTGCAGCTCCACAAATTGGAGTCAAATCCTGTGCTTCATGTATTATTGATAGGCACAGCCAGAATCCAGGACACATGGATCTGACTGCAACGAGGAGCATCACCGGGCCCCAGCGGGAAGGATGTCCATGTGTGCGGTCATTTATGTTATCATGAGTATTACAGGAACATTCCAAGTCTGTAGAGAAAAGATGACCTCAGGATCATTACTTTCCTGGTACTCCTATGTGTATGGTGCCACTTCAGGATCAGTTGAATGTACCTGTGTTTGGCTTGCAGACATTCGATGAACTACTCCTGAGTGCGAATGTTAATCCAAACCCCACTGAACTTGATGGGAGCCAAATCTTTAAAGCTGTCATTCTCAACCCGAGCTCCGTGGATTCCTAGGGGTCCTCAAGAGGTGGCTAGGGGTTCCTTGAGCTGTGGCTGATTGACCTCCTATTTGATGGTGCCTTCTTAGTTCTGAGGTCAACACTAATTGGTAGAGCCAGTTTCATAAAGACAATGATCTTTTCAGACATCCATAGGGGTTGCATTCTGACCACCATTGTAAGGGGGGCATTCTTCCTACCGACCGCCAATGTAAAGTGCAATTTTCCCAGTGACGATAAATCCAGGGAGACTTCTTCCCACTGTCTACCAATGTAAGGAACATTCTTCCCATTGACCACCAATATAAGGGACATTCTTCCCACTGACCATCAATATAAAGAACATTCTTTCCATTGACCAACAATATAAGGACCATTCTTACCACTGAACACCAATGTAAGGAACATTCTTTCCACTGACCATCAATATAAAGAACATTCTTCCCACTGACCACCAATGTAAGGAACATTCTTCCCATTGACCACCAATTTAAGGGACATTCTTCCCACTGACCATCAATATAAAGAACATTCTTTCCATTGACCAACAATATAAGGACCATTCTTACCACTGAACACCAATGTAAGGAACATTCTTTCCACTGACCATCAATATAAAGAACATTCTTCCCACTGACCACCAATGTAAGGAACATTCTTCCCATTGACCACCAATGTAAGGAACATTCTTCCCACTGACCACAAATGTAAGCAGCATTCTTCCCACTGACCCCCAATGTAAGGGACATTCTTCCACCTGACTACCAATATAAGGAACATTCTTCCCACTGACCACAAATGTAAGCAGCATTCTTCCCACTGACCCCCAATGTAAGGGACATTCTTCCCACTGACCCCCAATGTAAGGGACATTCTTCCCACTGACCACCAATCTAAGGAGCATTCTTCCCACACACCACCAATGTAAGGAATGTTCTTCCCACTGTCAACAAATGTAAGGAACATTCTTCCCACTAACCACCAATCTAAGGAGCATTCTTCCCACTGACCACAAATCTAAGGAGCATTCTTCCCACTGACCACCAATGTAAGGAATGTTCTTCCCACTGTCAACCAATGCAAGGAGCATTCTTCCCACTGACCACCAATCTAAGGAGAATTCTTCCCACTGACCACCAATGTAAGAAGCATTCTTCTCCCTGACCACCAACTTAAGAGACATTCTTCCCACTGACCATGTCTAAAATGATCATTGTCTTTATGCAACTAGCTCTACCAAGTGGCTCAGACCCCAGAACTATGAAGACACCATCACTTAGGAGGTCAATCATCCACAGCTCAATCATCCACAGCTCAAGGAAAAACTATCAATATCTGGAGAAACTCTAGGAATCCACAGAACCCTGGTTGAGAATAGCTGCCTTAAAAATTCAGCTTCCATTGACTTTAATTGTGTCTGGATTACCATTCGAACTCAGGAGCAGTTCAGTGTGAACATCAGCATGCCAAACCCAGGTACATTCAACTCATCTCAACCACCAATGTAAAGGACATTCTTCCCACTTACCACCAATATAAGGAACGTTCTTCCCATTGACCACCCATATAAGGAGCATTCTTCCCACTGACCACCAATATAAGGAACGTTCTTCCCATTGACTACCAATGAATTGGTTTTAGTAAGGTGGGTGCACAGATGTGCCAAGGGCTCTGAAGAGTCCCAAAGCCTGGAGGAGTGGGCGTTCTTAGGCAGACTGTATATACATGCTGAGCGCCCCCTAGGTAACATCCACATATGATGCTGAGCCTTCTTAATTAAAGGAACTGAAACCCAGTGAGTAAAAGAGGTGGGCCAGGGAGAGTCAGATTGGGGAGGGAAGGGAAAAATTATACTAGATGTCCTCTAGGAAATTAGGTGGGTTCTACCTGATTGCTCTGAAGTTTCTAATGCACATTGTGAAAAGCTCACAGTGTGCAGTGAAATCAGTGAAAGCAATTTCAGAATTTCATTCCAGGTGAAGAGTGAGCAATTTTAGTACGTAAGGGAAGGCTGTAGTTCAACCTCAATCCCCTTGAAATGTGTTAGAATCTCCAATAAAAATCCCCTCTAATATCTCACTGACATCTCAGGTGCTCCAGCCAAGGACTTTGATTGGCCGTCGGCCCCCTCCAGGTTTCTCACAGGAAAGGTTTCCTCTCGGCTCATCTCTTTCTACAAAAACTTTTAAGACTCTCAATTCCTTTTAAAAAGCAATTCTGAAGTTTTGTCTCAGCTCCCTCAGATCTGGCGTTTTATATATCAATGTTCTGAATCGCGAAGCTCATTCCGGAGATTATACCTGTCAAGGAAGAAGCTGCGTTTTTCTTGGCTTCATAAACTTGTTTTATCTTTCTGGGATTTTGGGCAACATAAATGCAAATTAGACCTTGCTGAAAGTTGTTTTTCAATTAAAAAAAGCGATGTAATTAGCATCTGTAAAAGGCCTGGAATCAGTGCTTACACACAGCAGCCGAGCTCTCGCTAATTGCCATACTCGGTGTGGGGAGGTAGTGACTGGTGATAGGAAGAGCAGAAAGATCCATAATTCTGATTGTAAGCTTCGTTGCCTCTTTGGGAAGACATGTCACTCTTGTTTATGAGTGAGAAAGAGCCAAGATTGGCTAAGAAACAAAAGGCAAGAAAATACCACCATTGTGGGAGGGGCAGAGACACAAACTACTGCAGGAAATCCCACCATTGTGGTTGGAGCATGTAGCACATCTCTACAGAGCAGGGGTGGACTGACAACTCATGCGGCCCCCGGGCAATAGGGGATCATGGGGCCCCTGTGTCCTTGCCCAAACTCAAAAAAGCCTATGAAAAAGGTACCAGGTGCATCTCATGGGGCCCCCCTACTGACCCCGGGCCCTCAGGCAGTGCCCGAGTTTTCAAATGGTCAGTCCGCCACTGCTACAGAGATTTGTTAGGCTAGATCCATCACCGGGGCCTACTGCACAATATTTTTTGTGGTGCAGGGTCTAAAATCACTGTCCCACTTCACACATCTTGGGCCACATCAGGAAGCACACCTTATTTGCTTACAAGGGGCCCCTCAGATTCCAGTGGTTACAAGCCCACTCATAACAAATACCTGGACCTAAAAATCACCAGGGTCATGAGTTACAAGGTGCGTTGTCTCATCCATCTCACTAAAGCCAAGTTGGCCAACTGGCCTTCACTAGGCCACCACCAGCTTCCTGACTGAGCTTGTGTTTGCTCCCCAGGTATGAGCTTACCCTCATTTCATAAGAACAAAAAGAGTCAGCCCACAATCTCCTTTAACCCCTCTGTTCTGCATTGGAACTTGTTGAACAACAGTCCAATATTCCATCTTGCATGGCCAAGTCCAGATTTCTTGTCCACCAACGTAGTTATCTTTTGTTTTAGTATATCTCAGCTTGTGAGCAAGGTGCAGCATGGTGTGGTGGGCAGTAAACAGAGTCCATGTTAGGCGATAGCGATATATTGTAGAAAAGTCCAACAGAACTCAACTAGGGCTGGTGGGTAGGCACATCCATCTGAAGCCACGTATGAACTGCAACAGTGGACATGCCGACAGTGTCTTCAATGAGGAGCAGAATGTAGCCTGGCCGGTCCAAACCCAAAAGGTATAGAGCGAAACGTGTTTTTTTCCTTTGCCTTGATGACCCCCACTATGTGATGTTTTTACCTGTCACCATTTAATAAATCACAGGAGAGTGCAGCTCTTTGACAGTACAGCTGGTGAGCCAAGCTAGCACGTCTATGGAGAGGGACAACTGATAGCCTGTATGGAGTTATTACATGGAGCGGCCTGCACACACTTTACAGCAGTCTGTAGACTTAGATGATGCCAAAAGCATCTGCAACGAGGAGCGGAATGCAGCCTGGCCAATTCACAACCAAAAAGGGAAGAAGCAAAGAGGATGTCTCAACTCCCCTGGAACCTTTCCCTATCTCTAAGTACTGTCACTGCCAGATGGGGAACCTGTCCCTACACTAGCCACTCACATAAAGCTCCCCAAACACAGGAGTCAGAGTCTTAAATAGACTCTGCCTGGCTCAAGATGGCCACTGAAGTCACATTGGGCTCCAGTATCCAATCGGACAGCTGTTTTTGATTGGGTGTAGTTAGACCTGAGATTCCCTCTCAAGGCCCAACTGGAAGCTGGAGCTCTTGTTTGACATAAGAAAAACTGCTAGGGAGAAAGTCAGTGACTCTGATATATCAGACTGGACTTACTCTGAATTGGACTCTGCACACAACCAGGCAAGGTTTGCTAAGTATTTTTCTCTTTTTTGCTCATTTAGTTTACTGTTGCTAATTGCCTATTTTGTAATATTTTTTTTCTGTAAGGATTTTCTGGCACCATTTTCTTGTCTTTCATTAAACTGTTATTTAAAAATTGTTAAGCTGAATCTTTGAATACTCTAACCAGAATTTAAAGAAGGTGTTGCCTGTTTATAATAAAGGGATCGTATTGTAAACTCCTGTTACTCTCTGTTACATTCCTGTCTGATTGTGACAGCGAGAGATACAGCCAGCTCTTATAAAAGGATGCTGTTATTTTTCATTAAAACACATGGTAGTGGCTACTTTGTGTGCATGTAAAGGGTTAACTGCATAGTTAGACTGCCCAGTGCTACTCCAAGTCTGCTTACATTGTTGTCCCAGAGCGGCAAAATCTCTGCGCTGGCTAAGCGTGTAATGCCTCAAATTCTGGACACAACAGTGGCATCAGATGATGTAATCCTCACACAAAATACGTTAAGGAAATCATCATTTTGGAGGGTGGAAGACACAATGTATGGCGCAGATATCACCCAAGTGCGGAAAGCGTGAAGATGTAAACTACAACGGGGAAAAGTCACCACTGTGGGCGGGGCAGAGACACAACTTACTGCGGGGAAGCCTCATCATTGTGAGAGGGATGAAGATGCGCAAACTACTGCAGGAAATCTCACTATTGTGGGAGGGGCAGAGACACAAACTACTGCAGGAAATGTCCCCATTGTGGGAGGGGCACAGATACAAACCACTGCAGGAAATCTCACCATTGTGGGAGGGGTAGAGACACAAACTACTGCAGGAAATCTCATAATTGTCAGAGGAACAGAGACACAAACCACTGGGGGAAATCTCACCATTGTGGGGGGGGCAGAGACACAACTTACTGCGGGAAATCTCCCCATTGTGGGAGGGGCAGAGACACAAACCACTACGGGAAATCTCATCATTGTGGGAGAGGCAGAGACACAAACCACTGTGGGAAATCTCACCATTGTGAGAGTGGCAGAGACACAAACTACTGCGGGAAATCTCCCCATTGTGGGAGGGGCAGAGAAACAAACCACTGGGGGAAATCTCACCATTGTGGGAGGGGCAGAGACACAAACCACTGTGGGAAATCTCACCATTGTGAGAGTGGCAGAGACACAAACTACTGCGGGAAATCTCCCCATTGTGGGAGGGGCAGAGACACAAACCACTGTGGGAAATCTCCCCATTGTGGGAGGGGCAGAGACACAAACTACTGCAGGAAATCCCATCTTTGTGGGAGGGGCAGAGACACAAACTACTGCAGGAAATCCCATCTTTGTGGGAGGGGCAGAGATACAAACTACTGTGGGAAATCTCATCATTGTGGGAGGGGCAAAGACACAAACTACTGGGGGAAATCTCATTATTGTGGGAGGGGCAGAGACACAAACTACTGCAGGAAATCCCATCATTGTGGGAGGGGCAGAGACACAAACTACTGCAGGAAATCCCATCATTGTGGGAGGGGCAGAGACACAAACTACTGCAGGAAATCCCATCATTGTGGGAGGGGCAGAGACACAAACTACTGCAGGAAATCCCATCATTGTGGGAGGGGCAGAGACACAGGGAAAATATATTGTATGTACAGTATCTGCAATATAATGTCCTTGTCAATATTCCATATTTATCATAGTTAAAAATAAAACATTTCACTTTTTTTTTTAAACAGATACATTGTTAATATAGAAACTATATGCAGTAGCCTCGTACAACATAGAGGCTGACATAAATAAAAGTGATTGCACGCTATTTCAAACAACACAAATTTTTTTTCAGGGGTACAATATATACTGTATATTTATTGGGATTCTTGTGCTGGGAAATCAGCAGATTTGCAGGAATTCTTTATATTGTCTCGATTTATTCCTCAGCTGAATGGCTGGAGATATGATGAAGTGTTTCGGAGAAGAATTTTGCCGTTTTTTGGGTAAAGCGTCACAGAACATTTTCCATTGTGTCAGGTACATTGTTGCCCCGGGACGTCGTACCCACCGGCGCTGAAATCTCTGTTTTAGATTCATGCTCGGTTGGCTCACATCAAAGCGGCGAGCGATGGCTTCCTGCAGATGGATGGATTGTGTTTGCAGTTTCCCATACCGGCTAGAAGAGAGATGGAGTTGATGAATAGCGTTTATGTGTCGCATTATGTTCTTTACCTCCAGCCTCAGCTGTAAAATATCGCCGCGCTCCCTGTACGCACAGAACTTTCTCCCGGGAATATAACAGTTATTCCTGGTAACGCAGCGCCAGGATAAGAAGATGATGCTTGATAATCTTCCCGACGCACAGACAAATCTTTTCATTGCCATTTAGAACAAAACATTCAATCTCATCTCCGCCAGGAGACATATTCCAATTCTCTACTCTGGATAGTGACAAAAAATCCCCCCCGAGTTAAAGCTCTACTCTGGGCAGGTATAAAAATCATGCAGCAATGAATTCATTAAAGTATCATTAAAGTCAGGGGCGATCGTGGGGCCCCATAGCAACATTTTAATGGAGCAAAATTGAACAAAAGATGTTGAAGCAACAATAATGACCATCATGGTACTTTATATTATAAAATAACTGATAACAGGAAAAATTGCAGCGCTATCTATACATGAATCTTAACCACTCACCCTCCTGAGGATTTACCCCCCTTCCTGATCAGGCCATTCTTTGTGTTTCGGCACTGCATTACTTTAACTGACAGTTGTGCAGTCATGCAAAGCTGCACCCAATTGAAATTTACGTCTTAGTTTGTGTCTCTGCCCCTCCCACAATGGTGAGATTTCCCGCAGTAGTTTGTGTCTCTGCCCCTCCCATAATGGTGAGAATTCCCACAGTAGTTTGTGTCTCTGCCCCTCCCACAATGGTGAGTTTTCCCACAGTAGTTTGTGTCTCTGCCCATCCCACAATGATGAGAATTCCCTCAGTAGTTTGTGTCTCTGCCCCTCCCACAATGATGAAATTTCTCTCAGTAGTTTGTGTCTCTGCCCCTCTCACAATGGTGAGATTTCTCTCAGTAGTTTGTGTATCTGCCCCTCCCACAATGATGAGATTTCCCACAGTAGTTTGTGTCTCTGCCCCTCCCACAATGGTGAGATTTCCCACAGTAGTTTGTGTCTCTGCCCCTCCCACAATGATGAGATTTCCCACAGTAGTTTGTGTCTCTGCCCCTCCCACAATGATGAGATTTCCCACAGTAGTTTGTGTCTCTGCCCCTCTCACAATGGTGAGATTTCCCGCAATAGTTTGTGTCTTTGCCCCTCCCACAATGGTGATATTTCCCGCAGTAATTTGTGTCTCTGCCCCTCCCACAATGATGAGATTTCCTGCAATAGTTTGTGTCTCTGCCCCTCCCACAATGGTGAGATTTCCTGCAATAGTTTGTGTCTCTGCCCCTCCCACAATGGTGATATTTCCCGCAGTAGTTTGTGTCTCTGCCCCTCCCACAATGATGAGATTTCCCGCAGTAGTTTGTGTCTCTGCCCCTCCCACAATGATGTGATTTCCACAGTAATCTGTGTCTCTGCCCCTCCCACAATGGTGATATTTCCCGCAGTAATTTGTGTCTCTGCCCCTCCCACAAAGATGAATTTCTCACAGTAGTTTGTGTCTCTGCCCCTCCCACAATGGTGAGATTTCCCGCAGTAGTTTGTGTCTCTGCCCCTCCCACAATGATGAGAATTCCCTCAGTAGTTTGTGTCTCTGCCCCTCCCACAATGATGAGATTTCCTGCAGTAGTTTGTGTCTCTGCCCCTCCCACAATGATGTGATTTCCACAGTAGTTTGTGTCTCTGCCCCTCCCACAATGATGAGATTTCCCGCAGTAGTAAAATTTTAAGAATCTAATTTCATCATAAATTTAGCCAAAAATGTATTCTGCTCCATGTCATTGCTAAAAAAAAATATCCCAATATGTGTAAATTAATTGGTTTACGTGAAAGCTATGACATTTATATATACTGGGATTTTTGGGGTTTTTTTTTACAAGTAATGGTAATGGTGGCGATCAGCAACTTATAGCGGGAATGTGTCGGGCATGCTGACACTGGGAGGAACGAACTTGGTGTCACTGACATTCTTAGAAAAAAAGCATTGACACTGTACTAATGGCACTGGGCAGGAAGGGGTAAACATGAGAGACGATCAAAGGGTTAACTGTGTGCTGGGAGTGTTTTACTGGGGGGCAATGTGTTGGTGCTTCACTGTAAGCACACTGCTCTGATTGGCTGTGCTGCACATCCAGAGCAGTGTGCCCGAGCCAACAGGGAGGAGGACTGTTAGTAAACAAAGCAGCCCTCCTCCCAGTCGGAGATCCTCAGTAATCAACGGGCGCCGGCGGGTAATCACCATCTGGGACCCGGTGATTGACAGTCGCGGCCGTGAATGGTGTCGTGGGTAGGGCACGTGCCTTCTACCCGGAGATACAACATCAGGTATATATATGTGATTTTGCGCACCCCTGCCACCTTGTAGCAGTATTTCTGCTATAGGGCGACGGGGAAGCAGTTAATGGTATTGCAAAAAACAACTAATAATAAATGCACATAAGTGGCACCAGAGTCCATATGGGATCCATATATACAAGCAAAAGCTACTGCATGAAGAGAAGAGCCCGATCCAGAAAGAAGACCGTCACCTTCCACCAAAAAAAAATGGCCTCTTACCAGAAGGTTTGACCACCCAAAGGACTGGCCAAAACACTCAGTAAAATATATCCAACTGATCCAGCACAAGATCCTAAGTGCAGACCAGGGGCAGACTGACCATTTGGAAACTCGGGCACTGCCCGAGGGCCCGGGGTCAGTAGGGGGCCCCATGAGATGCCCCTGGTACCTTTTTCATAGGCTTTTTTTGAGTTTTGGCAAGGACACAGGGGCCCCATGAGTTGTCAGTCTGCCCCTGGTGCAGACTGCTCCCGGTGTAATTGCAGACACTTCTCTAGATTATAGGTACTCTGATCTCCTGTACAGCTCTCTCTGCAGCAGCTAAAAGCCAGTGGGAGGGAGAGGAGAAAATGCCAGATTTCAGCTGCTGCATAGAGAGCCATACAGTGGATTGATTCCAGTATTTGCCCCTCCCTCCACCCCATGTCATGCTGATCACCCTCTCTGCCCACATCCGATTCACCCAGCTACCCGGGCCCTCCTGCTAGCCTGGGACACCTACAGGAAGACTGGTGGTACCCCCTTATCCACGGCCCTGACCCCTAGCATTGGTGGTCAGGCACTATAGCTGGCTTCTGTATTCTTTGCCTTTAGCAGCTCCCTTTCCCATAAGTCGATCAGCCCTACTAGAACTTATACACAATGCCATAGTGTCTGGCTACCATGCTGGGACAGGTGCAAACTAAGTGCAGAAAAACAGGTACTTTCAGTTGTCAGACAGGCAGAGTGGTCCAGTGACAGTCCAGGTTCAGGGCAGGCAGTGTCCAAAGAGTAGTCAGGGTCCAATCCATGGTCAAAAGGCAGGCTGTATTCTGAGCGGAGTCAAAATCCTATCTGAGGTCTTTAACAAGGCAATCCAAACTAGCTGGCAGGGCTAAGAAGGGTCAAGGCACGGGAACATGGCAGGGAAACAGGGAGCTAGAGGAATGTGGTAGAAACGCAATCACAAGCAAGAGACTAAGGGCTTGGCTGGCCTAAAACAGTGGGTGGATCTGAGGAGTGGCTGGTCTGTACTCTTGGAGGATCCTGGCCAATCCCCAACAGGAGGCTTGGAAAGGGGCCAGGACAGTCTTTAAGAGTAACCGAGCCTGCTGAGTAGCAGGGAGTTGTTGGAAGGGAGTTGGAAGAGAGTTGAGGAAGATGTGAGGCTGGA